ATGTGGCTTTGAGCATCCTGGTCTAGTGGAAGGTGTCCCTGCCCATGGCAGGGGGGTTGGAACTAGATGATCTTTAAGGTCCCTTCCAACCCAAACCATTCTGTGGGCCCAGTTTAACCACGCTGACCTTGGCTTTCCTCCTTGGCGTCATGCTGAGCCCCTGAGCTACACCTGGGTGCTCCCGCGTAGCCCTTGCAAAGGGGGAGGCATGTGTCCTTGTCACGCCATGCCCTTCTGTGAAGGTTGTCCTGTCCTGCCTGTGCTTCTCCGTTACCTTCTGCCCTGGGGGAGCAGGGTTGGCCGTCCAGGGGCGAGCGAGGACCACGGGGAGTGCAGGAGCTGCAGCACCTTGCGCCGTACAGAGCAGCATTTTGGTCCGCTTGCGGACAGGGGCCATACAGGTTCTGCTCTCCTTTAAATCTTCCTCCCATGCCTGTGTGTCGACTACGTGGCCAGCACAGATTCAAATCCCAGCCACAGGGCTGCAAGGAACAACTGTTTTCTCAAAATATGCGTTCACTGCCCAAGCGCAGCCTGAGCTGTAGCACCGGGATCCTCTCGCCTCTCCGGGGTCCAGCCCACGGCACGGACCCGAGGCTGGGTTTTGGGAGCCGGGGAGCAGCTGGTGATGCTTCTAACCCTGTTTCCCTTCGCTTTCAGAGTCACACCTTCATCAAACGCTCCGAAGTGGAGGAGGTGGATTTCGCCGGCTGGCTGTGCAAGACGCTGCGGTTGAACCAGCCCAGCACACCCACCCGTGCTGCCATGTGAGGGCCGAGCCGACCGCCTGGTGTCAGTACATCTGCCTCTGTCACCATTTCCTCTCCCTCAGTAAATGACAGAACTGCCCTCCTTCCTTCTCCCCGGCCCCTTCTCGCCTCCCGTCCCAGCGGCAAAGCACCATCCCCTCGGAATCGTCTTTGTCGGCCGCCCCCGAGCCGAAGCGGGGTTGGTTTCTTTTGATGTGGGGGTGTTCCAGGCCTCTGCTCCAGCTCTGGAGCTCCTGACACTTGGGAAATGTGGTGCTGCTTATGTTAAATTTTTCTCTTCTTTTTTTTTTTTTTTTTGAAACATGTTCACTTGGGTTAAAAAAAAAAGAAAACAATGGTGTGTGTGCACGCTTGCGTGTGTGTGTGAGATGGTGGCAGGGGCTGGGGACAAGCGGCTG